CGAGCTAAACGATGGAGACATTATAATATTGTGTTGTGGATTGGTCATTTGACCGAGAACCGTGTAGTTATGTGAAAAAAACACATTTTTTGAGTACCTACCCGTGCAGGTTTTGACTAACCGAAATTTTTTGTTTTTGTAATTTTTCTCATCTCAAATTAGGTCTGTGTGAATTGGTAAACATTTTTAGACAATTAATGAAATTTATGATTTAATTTATATAATAAGGTGACATATTATTATATTTCCTCGTATATACCTACTCATGGTCATGAAACTGTCYGATTTTATGTGCGCCCGGCCATACGAAAACTGTGTCATAAATATTATTAGCATAATAATATAATATTATTATTTATTATCGTACCTATTCGTCGTTTAAGGGTGCAGTGAGGGGTCAATGTGTATATTCGCTTCTACAAAGTTGAAGTAGGGTCGATGGAATACTATTACAGTATTACTGAGGTAGTGAGGTGTGTAATATATTATATATATAAATTGTTATTCGTTATTGTTAATTCGACGTGCATTTTTTTTTATATGTTCAATGTCATATTTTTCGTTCGTGTGTTTTTTATTTGTATTTATATCTATTATTTTTTTTATTGATATGACTTCAAAACTTTATGATATATTGATGTGTAAATCAAAGACTTTTAACTTTTAAGTAAAAAATAAATGTTATCCCACTGTTTTTTTCGATAGACTTCGGAAAATAATACGATATTGTGTTGTGTAAAAAAAATTAAATACCGTCTGTTTTACCATATCAGACTACACTCCTCCCACATTGTTGGGTGGTGACACGATAGCAACACTATTTAACGTGTATAAATCCACCGAACTCCCCAAAAAGATGTTTCCGAAATCATCCCACATACAATATAATGTTATATACGCGTGTTCAGTGATTCTGTGTTATACCCAATATTATGTTGTAGGTAGTTTAAATATTTACTATAATAGTCAATAGAACTCATCATGAGCAGTGGCGCACAGAGGTATTTTAAGAGCACATGCAGTTAAAAAAAGTTAGCCACCCAATTTTTTATTTATAACAAATATTTTCACTTATTATTCACTGTAATTCAAAGAAATCAATTAGTATAGACTATAGATTATGTTATAAATTTTTTAATTTCCCTGTGGAACCCGCAGTAGTACACACCCACCCCCCTCGAGAACACATGCAGTTGCATTCCTTTCTAACCTGTCTGGGCGCCACTGCTCACGAGTCATTGTAGACAGGGATAAATGAAAATATATTAAACCTAAGGTATAGGTAATAGGTGTAATACGAATATGGATATGCCGATATAGCTTGTATATCAGTAGGTATACAGTCAACACCAGGGTTTTGCTCGGGGTTGAGAGATGAGCTGATAATTTGTTGCACTATCTTGCAGGTCTTTCATAACTCATAAGTCATAAGTTTTGTACGCTGATGCGGTAAAGGTGCATAACATTTTAGTCCTTATCAACCAACAGCATTATATTGAAATAACATTGTCGATACAATATGGTTCCGTAACTGAAAGTATTTTTAAATGTTTCGAAATCTCACTGAAGGATGCAGCTCTTTGGCTTTGCAACCTCTTGGCTAAGCTACTGACATATATTATAATATTATACATTTAACTCGCTAGGAACATTTTCATAACAAATATTATATAAATATTATATTATATATAAGTATAAGACCATAATATTCATGTATTTTATAATATATGCGCGCACACACACATACGTCATATAACTTATATAAGTGTATAATAATTAATAATATTATATTCGATAAAAATTTAGTAGATGCCACAAAAAAGGTTTTCTACTCGATAAAATCGTACATGTGTAATATGTTACTATGATAATTTTATCGTATAAATAATATTACATCCGGAAAACGACAACCCRGTTATAATATATCTATAGGTATATACGAGCATACAATWTCTTTTGTTCATTATACATTTTCGTAGACCAAATTCTTACAAACTATAATTATTTATATAATTTATTTATAAATAAGTAATGCTATCTAATATACGCTCGTTGCGCAATTAAATTGGTGTTGTGTAAATACCGCTGAGTGTATGAGTATTTCAACTTATTACAATAAAAATTCTATATACGCATAATATGTTGGAAAATAAAAGAACTAATTTCCAAATCACTAAGCTTGGCATTTTGACAATATTGGTCGATGATAGAGATAGATATAATAATGTATAATAAAAAGTGAAAAATGGTTACCTTTCTAATTACACAATAAATATCATGTTTTAATATTATACTATAACAATGTGGGAGACAAAATATATATACACTTATAAATCTCTATATTAACGTTTCGATATCGATACAACAATTATTATTAATTAATTAAGAGGTGTTAATATATTATTTATGTAATAGTCAAATAGGCACAAATTGCTTTATCTTATATTAAATGTATGATTATAATAAATAACTTTTCTGGACAGGTTTTACCGATATGGCAATTGATACCTCATCGGTTTACAATAAATAAAATAGTAAATTATACAAGTGTTAMGCGACTTATTATATCGAAAAAGGGTTTAAATCTTTAAATACAGACACTTTCAATTTTCGGTTTAAAACTTAAACCATCGATTAACGGATAGGTAACGAGATTAATTACAAAAATGTTCAGTATAATGCAATCATGTAAGCAGTAAAGCCGCCGATACCGTGCGGAGTGTATATAAAGGTATAACCGCACCACTGAACCAGTGAACAATTGATTTTAGTTAGTAGGTATAACATAATATTATATATGCACTATACAACAATATACTACCTGATTTTTAGGTATTGYTTCAGTTTTATTTGAACAAAATTCTTTATATTTATCACAAAAAAATATTAACTTTCATTATTCCTTGACGTGGTGATCAATGATCACATTAAAAAAAAAAAATATTAAATTTAAAAATGAATGATGATACAATCTAAAAACAAATTTTTGGTAAAGCTTTTTTTTTCTCAGCAATTTTTACTTTCTACATAATATTCTTCTTCTCAGTTTTTCTTGATTACGTTAAAAATAGTTTTATGAAAGTTAACAGTCTTAAAAAACCCTTAATTACTTATGGGTCTAATTCTCAATCAACGACATCATCTGTAATACCTAGGTAAATTATTAGTATTTCATATTATCTAGTAATTATATATGTATATGTGCCTTATTGTCAACTTTAGACATTTTTTGATATTATGTAAAAGTAAATAAGGTTAAGGAGACAACTATTAACATATATTGATCATAGTTATTTATTTGTCATCTGCTGCATTCTACCTTAAAATCATTCATTACTCCTTCCACCACGCCACATAAAGAAATCTCAATGCTACAACTTATATATGACACAAGTCGCTATAATAGGTTATTATAGTATATATTATATATAAGGTAGACTTGAATAGATTTCTAAGATTTGTTTTTGTTAATTTAACAATAGGTACTAACTAGTAACTATGAACTAAAGCGATTTTTGGAATTTTTTGCTTGCAGGTTTATAATATTACCTAGATTTGTATGAATACGATTAATAATTAAAATTTAAACAGATTGATAGTCACTTAAGCACAATGTTATTAGTATATTATTACTTAAAAACACAAAAGAGTCAAAAAKTAATGGATGGCTGTACCCGCTGCGCCGAAATTACTACGGCTATAACAAGTGATATACAATTTATTTATTTATTTATTAGTAATATTATGCATGTAGCATGTAGGTATATTGCTCTGCATTTCATAAACTAAGCTTAAACTCATCATGATTACCTATATAAATAGGCGCTATCCTGTGTAGGTACATTTTAAAATTTAATGTTATTCTATATTATGCACAATGCATGTATATTATTATCATAGGTACCTACCTAAACTATGGCCACTCATTGAATAAACAAAAGTAAAAAACAGTTGCTTAATAATTTGTAATAACATCATCACAAATACTTAAATAAAAATATTTGTTGAAAATTCACCTATTTATTTATCTACTTTTGATTTAAATATCCTTTTTGCTGTCTTTTTCAGACGTATTAAATTTTTGGATACAAATCATTATTTGATATTAAAAATGGGCTTGTAATGCTTGTATACATGATTATTATTTTAAATAAGAAAATATTTCTTGTATAGAACTTACAACATTACGATTAAGTTGTTTTATTTTCTGTGTTGCTGCTATTTTATTAAAATATTAATTTGCTTAAAAAACGAGGGACTTCATTTTATTTTAAATGTTCATAAAAAGTTTATTTTTGGAAAAAAATATATTGAACAACCCTTCAATATTTGACCCAATATTACGTGTATTATGATTATAAATTATCTGAAAATCAATTTATTTTCCACATTGTTTATCACAATTTAATAGATCGTATGCTTAGCTGTTGTTTTTCCCACACATAACATAAACTATTCAAAATTAAATAAGCGAATATAAATTCCATAAGTACAAACAATACTTATATAAATATATAAGTACTCTATAAAATAACAATGCATAGGTTTTCATACATATAATAATAATAATAATAACAATAATATACGTATGAGTATAATATTATTGTATAGCGTAGGTAATATATTGAGAATCCTACCCAATTTTTATGATTCAATAAAATATATTATATATAGTGAAGGAATACAAACTCCGTTATAGTCCTATAATATGTGATGATAGACGTGTACATTGTATAAAATAGTTGTAAGTAATATTTACAAAAGGATACTCTATCGTWWATAGCTTTATAGATATTCGTATTTGTTATTTGGATCATTAAGAATTCGTATACTTTGGTAATTTTGTATTAAAGAAAGTATACACACACTTTTATACAGTTATACAAATACATAAACGTTATGTATACGGATAAGTACATGAAGTTATTTTTTATTTATTTTATTATAGAAACAGCCGTATAGAGAAATAAGTGTATGGCATGTAAATGTGTGTGTTTGTATAACAAAAATCATTTTATTCGAGCATTACGATAGTATTTTTTTTTTTTGGGCAGGGGGCAGTTTTTCAAAGCGATATTTATGTATTTTTAGCATATATATTTATATATGTATAATATGTATATATATATATATACCTATAAGTTTTTATTTTAATTTTAATGCACCTTCAGTTTCTTTATCATTTAAAGAGTCACGACTTTGACGGTTGTATCGGTTGTCACTGTATGTGGTGGCCGCATCGAAGTTTGTTACTTATGATTTATTCGTCCGAAAACCAAGCTGTAAAAAAAAATACATATATTTTAACACATTCAATCAGATGGAATAACTATGAAAAATAATGAAATCTATTTAATAATAAAGGTAATAATTTAAATAAAATTGCTCTATAAAAATAATAGTACTTAATAATATATAAATAGGTAATATAGTAACTACAAAGTACCAACAATTATATTGATACTCGTATTCCAATGTAACTAAAAGCAATATTGAAATTATAATATATCAAGTAGGTATTTAATTCAAAATTGTAAACATTTAATTCGTAATATAAAGTAAATAATATTTTTTGACCGTGATAAGTATGTGATCTACAACTGTATAATTCATCAAATCATAGATAATATTGATGATCTATGGATTAGAACCGAATGTTGGTATATACTACCAGATTTAATCAACGTGAAYCAAAAATACTCTTTATCCCTTACTCCAGTTGGTATATAGTCTCTAACCTTCCAATTTTTTACATTTTAAAACTATTCAAAATCGTTACCTCTAAAAACCCAGAAAAAATGTAATTTTTATAAAAAAAAAACACATCTTCCCTTATTCCTAATACAGTTTTTGCTCGCCTAATAGTGTTTTCCACATTTAAAATAAAACAAATCCTGTAAATATTTAGTTTTCTATAGTAAATCGAATAATTTACCATTCCATATAAGTCATATTTTATATTTTAAGTGGACTAAATATTAAGCGGTTTCTTACAGTTTTAAAGTTATGTATAAGTATTTAAAAGAATTGTAATAAATAGTAGGTATCTATAATTTGAATATAATTATTTTTTATTTAATTTATTGACTTACTTCAATTATAAAAATCATATTTTATACGTTGAAAATACGCAGATGACTGGTTAATAAATATAATTTTTAAAGGAAAATTCTCGTTGGTTGTTACATATACCTAATACTAGAAAGTTCTAATTTTTAATTAAATTTTCAAAAAARATATAACCTAAAAGAAAGTGGCTTTCATACTTATATTAAYAGTTATATTTAAATAGCACATAAAAGTTACAGGTGATATTAAATTTTATAATGTAGGAGATACCTACTTTCTTTATAATAGGATGTTATATAAATGTATTAATGTAATATAATTATTATTCCAATAATTAAATATACATAACKGTTTTTTTATTATTATTATTTAGATGAATTAGATATGTATTTTAAAATGAATTTATAAACTTCATATAATACTATAACGCATAATTTAAAAGAATCATAGGAGAAGTATTGGCAACATAGTTCCTTCTCCGGTCCTCGATACCATAGAAAAAAAAAAAATTTAAAAGAATCATCATTATTTTATGAAGTATAGGTACTGTATATTACTGTTAATAGTGTATAGGCATTACAATATTATTACAGTGAATAACTATGTAAACCTACAAACTAAATTCTTACTAACTATACAGTTATGACCATATCATTGGTAGTATAAACGTGTGTATTGTAAATTTATATAAATTAGTTGCATTGTTGTATTAATATACTAAATTTAATTATAATACGCTTTACAATATTTTGAACAATTTTTTAAAGTGCAGAATAAATTTTTTAAGACTACAATAAGTATAAAAGTTAACTTTTGAGTGATTCATGATATATTAATATATTATTAATAAGTTGATAAAAAAATAATTCATCATTATATTAACTAATTGAACTGCAACAACAATTATTATTAAAATACCATGGTTCGCAATTTTGTGTTAGTATAAAATATAAATAATAATAAGCCATGCAAATGTACATACATAAATATTTGAAATGATAGCTACATGTTTGGTATAAATGRYTGAATGAAATGACTGCAGATAGTCATTGATATAAGYCAAAGAATTATTGGCATCATTCAATTACATAATGTATAAATATATAGTATAAATCTATATTCTCTGCATACTGTTTTAGTTCACACGTCCGGGGTCGTGTGTTGCTGTTGGCCAGCCTAATTGTATGGGTACTAAATAATTGAATAATGGAAGAACTACAATATTTAAAGGTTTTTAAGGCATAACATTTGTTTTAAATTCTATTTTTCATATATATTTAGGAGTTATTAATGCTGAAATTAAATTCGTGATAATATGTAGCAATACTAGTGCAAAAAACGGAATAAATATAAAAGTATTAAATAATTTACAATTTAAAAACAAATTACCTAAAAATAGATTACATACCGAAGAGAATAGTGTGTTCGAGTTAGATTGTTTCAACAAGAATTATGTTCAAGCATTTAAGTATCAACGGTTGTCGAAACAAAATGCATAAAACACATGACGTTATCGGAACGAAAAAATTATAAAAATAAATAAACAGCACACAAAAATTTAAAGCACACAAAACAAAGCATGATTATCCATTGTGTAAGTATAATACTATAATGTATTAATGTATAATATAATATATTATGTATGTGTTTCTCTCCTTTTTTTAAAAAATATTCTATTGCTTTGTTTAATGTCTTTCTCTTGTTTATCGTGTAAGTATGAGAATTATATGTTGAGAGGGTTAAAATATGTATACTATTAGGTAGGTATATAATGCATATTATATCCCATATATAATATACATCGTCAAATACAAGACACGTTATTAATAATAGCACAATAAAATTATGTTTTATTTCATTAACTTTTTACCTAAATTAAATTATTCTAAAAATGGATAATACTGTGTTATTCAAACATTATAAACGAGTAATATTTAGGAAATATTATTGATATTATATATGACCTTATATTATAGTACAACGAATGTCCTAAATTCAGCTAAACAACAATATTTCAAGCTGAACACATCAATCATTTATATACATAATACATACATATATATTTATATATTTAAATGTATATATATATATATATTTATTTATAATGTATACATATATATTTGTATATATGCTATTATATATTATATTGGTAATCAAATAAGTACTAAAAAAAAAAAAATATATATATAATATATAGATAATACATAGTAATGTTTTTAGTATTATAAGGATAAATCAAAGTTGAATTTTGAATAAAAAAATAAGCTTTAAAAACAATATTTGTTAATTTTGTGTGTTTCTAACTGAAATGTTATATCATATATAATTGAAACTTGAGGAATGCTTAATTAAATTCTATTGTATATTTTATTCGTTTTTTAAACAATTATTATTGTGAATAGGTAAATTTGTATAATTTCCCGGTATGTTATACATTCTTAAGCCATCAAAGTGTTTTTATTGGAACTTACCAACTATAATGGCTAATATTGCGAGACCAATAACTCCCATTATGATCATCATCTGAAATAAAAAAATTTAAAATTTAAAAATTCCAATTTTTTTTTAAACCTATTTAAATCAACCAATTTTATAATATTTAATAAAATATAATAATTAGYCTATATAATGTTATGTATGTATGTTGATAATTAAGTAGTGTAGCTATTTTTAAGTATTTAYTCAAATATCAAAATAACTATTATGATTCTTTTGTTGGAGATATCGATCGACCATTTAGTTATCCCAATTGTATTTAATTAAAATKATCTTTTTATGTTTTTTTTAGAATTTTAATAAAAAAATTAAGTTATGAACTAAATATTACAAAACGCTTAATTTTGTTTTACTGCTGAAACCTGTATATTAGTATATAATAGTAAAAATTAATACACGGAATACATTTGTTGGAATAGGTACTTCTTCCAATCGCTTGATATTACGATATGTAAATATATATATATATTTTAAAACCACCCTAAATGTAAATATGTTATGCATTTTTAAATGCATGCTAAATGCAAATTTATACATCTATTTTCTCCATCATATCCTCCAGCTGTAACCTTTTTTATCACTTAAGCTGATTATACAAAAATATGCATAGATTTATTTAACTAAATAAAGTACAAAAAAAAAAAAATTATATGTATGCATAATATATATATTTTAATTTTTAATTTCTAATTATTTTTACGAAGTATGTTAGTATGGTAATTTATAACTAGGTATACTAAACTAGTATTCTGATACAGATTGTTAGAATGAATCATGTTATGAACCTACTTTTTAAGTGGTTAGAATACAAACAATAAGATAGGTATATGTTGATAAGAGTATAAATTGTTATCATGATAATTTGTTTTACTTATTTATAAGTGGGTGATGTGGGCAATGATTAAGCATTAGGTTATCTTCGTTCATCGGATTAGTAAAAAACGTATTTGGTTAAATTATAAAAATAAAAAGTTAATTGACTTTATTCATGAGTTACCACTATACTCTGCAGTGTTAAATTAATCAAAAACCAAAAATTGTGTAATTGTCTTCCAATAGGTCTCTAGAACTCGTGTTTTCTCCATTTTGTATACACAATAWTTCCAAGCTTAAAGAGTTATTTTTAAAAAAGTAATTTTTTTATTGAAGTAAGCACTATTGTATGTTAAAAATGTATCATAGTTCATACTAATAATTACAAACTACAAAGTATAAATTAGTAACTGTCTATTTTGTTATTACAGGAGGTAATTATTTTCAAATTTGTGAAATATAACGCGGTTCACGCTGCATTTTTTTTTTTTACCAAAGGCTTTGTATTTGACCTTTTAATATTTCACTTAATTTTTAAAAAAGTTATTAAAACCATATAACAGTTCATAGAGAATAGAACAAATGTATATATTAGTGGTAATATGTTTTCTTGTAATCGTGAATTTTACATAACAACCTAACCTAACTAACCTAACCTAACCTTACTCTACCTAACTGAGAATGACGTATCCAGACTTCAAGTTCAGAACGCAAGTTTGTAAACTATATAAATTAAATACAAAGATTCAAAGCAAATTATAGAAGTGGAATCATATTGTTTCTAAATATTATCGACTAWTGTTTAAAATATAGTGTCAAATTTTTAATGAAAATATTTCTATTACTGTTTAGGTATAGCGTTTATTATAAATATGTGCATATAAATTTATTGTGGTAGTTATCTTGCTGAAAATTTCTGGTTGTGTTACGATATTAACATTACGAAAAAATTTACAATTTAACTTCTTAAGGATATATATTATACCTAGGTATACCGATTTTTTTTTATCGTTTTACCTATTTACAATAAATTTCCCTTTAACCATTAACATTATTATCGCTTAAGAATTTAAAATCATTTTAAAATAAACTAGAATTTTATCGAAATATGCAAAAATTAAAAAAATTATGTTTTTAAATATCTTTTTTTTTTTTTAAATCTTGGTATTTAAAATAATTAATTCATTTATTATAGGCATACAAATATTATAATTTAATTTAAAAACTTGATCATAGATAACATTTTATTTGAGAAATGTTCAAATTGATAGATATATTTTTAATAACAATAATGCGTATAATCTAAGTTTAACTGTATTAAAATAAACATTTCATATTATGTTCATATAGATTAGAAAGAATCAGTGTATGGAGGCGMCCCTATACTCCTCATAAACATGTTATTTTTGGGCATTTGACATTTTGACCTATTTTAAAATTTATTGTACATCAAATGGATACACAAAATGACTAATAACAGTCGTGTACCTATATGTTACATAATGYAACTTACATTACATGATGTTCTTTTTTAATGTTATAATCAATTGTTTTAAGTTTCAATTTAATATTTTGTTAATGCTTTTCCATTAATCGTCAATTTTATTCCGTATACCCATAACCATATTGGTTCTATGTTTTACTTCAAAGAAATTTTCGATTTAATTGATTAACTTTACTGGTTTCAGATCCATATAATATATTTTGATTTTTATATGAAACATTTTATTAAGATCAAAGACATACTAATCTTTATAAATAAGATTTTCAACAATTTATTTTTTTAAATGTAATAAAAAACAATTMTTTAATAATAATTATAAATTAATCTTTGTGCTCTCAAACCAAGGAGTGCTACATTTTCTAGAGTTATTGATCAAAGTACTTGAACTTATAGTATGAATTTTTATAATTTTTAAATGTTTCTCAATATCAAATAGGTAAAGTAACTACATACCTTTAAATTTTGTAGCCAAAATTTCCTCTTTAGTTTTCCAGCCTGTTGTTCAAATTGCGATGCCCCTTGTTGCAATGCATCTGTGACAAAAAATGAATATAAATATTAAACAATAAAAAAATAGTGATATTAATAATGAGCTAAAACAATTTTAACCTGCTCTGTCATCTAGTTCGGAGAGTTTTTGATCCCTGTCCAGTACTTTCATCACGTTCGTCTTCATAATATCCACCACCTAAAATACATAGAGTAATAGAGTAAGTAAAAAGCAAATTGTACCGTTTTTGCGCTCGCACACACCTCATCGACTTGTGCTTGTGTTTGTTGCAATCGCTTTTGCGCCGCGATTTGCTGTGGTGTCTTTGGGCCTCCGACCACTGTGTCATCTCCTGCGGTAAGTCCAGCGCCTGTTCCATCGGCCCTGTTGTATACATACACAACTCACAATAAGCGTATAAAAGCATAATGYATATTGTCATCATTATCATCAATCGTTTTACGAGTAAATTCTTTGGTAGCGAAAGAAACGAAGAAGGGCGTATTATGTTATATACTGCAATAAGTTATTTCGACCCTAGTTTGTTTGCTCAATTACACGGAATAMTGTTTGTCGTACTTATCACGCGTTTATGGTGAGGCAATGTTTGCACATACGATTTCTGGAGGTGGGTATAGGACATGCGTTTTCACAATAGCCGTCGTAGTATAGTTAGCGGTATACAATAGGTATGTGTTTGTAGCTACATATATATTACGTGTAGTTCACTTGACCGACTTACGTTCCTGGTGTTTGTTAGGGTGTGGAGATCGGAAAAATCGAGTACCTATTCCAATATAAATTAATTTCGATGAATTTTGTTCATAATTTATTTTTTAATATTCAACTTTACTTATAAAATTATTCATTGTCAATGAATCATTGAAATTTTGCAAACAAACATGGAAACAATAATTACAATAAACGTATAATACAGTATACTAAGGCGTTACGTGCAAGGTATTATTAAGTGTTTAAGCATTGATTTTGATTGCTAAAAAATAAGGCTTTTTAACAATTTTATTTACAAAGTTTAATACGCTCCCGAAATGTGTAGAATAAAATGTAATTCTAGTCAAGTGGATAATATTTAATTCATGAAGATTAATAATCATAACACTTAAAATTAACAGTGTTCTTTAATGTTTATTCAAAACCAAAAATTTATATTATAAGGTTTTTAAATTTAAAAGCTAGAAACTAAAATAATAAATATGAATAGTTGACACGTGAATCGTGAATATTATATAGATTACACTTCCTAGTGTGTAAATAAATTGTTAGGTTTATTATATATTTAGTTTAGATATATTTTTGACTAATTCATATTTTGACCGCTACAGCCAATAATTTTTTACTCTGTGTAATATCGTTATAAATGTATGATACATTTTCGTAGAATGAATTTAATATATTTTTAAATATAAATAAGTTTATTGTTTATTTACTGCCATTACTGATTAATTTATATTCAATTGGATATAGTTGGTACTACAGTAATACTATCGTATAGCAATTGTCAGAAATATATATTATAGGTATTATTTCACTTAGTATTAGTCCCAATTAAAAAAAATCCTATTTGAACGCTTTATGTTGTTTACTGTATACTATGTTTGATATTGAACATTTGAATTTTCATAATTATATCGTACCTAATAAATAGGAACTGTCCATATATAGTGCACCCTGCAGAGTAAATAATATAATATCGTGCATATAATACTCCGACGAAGAGCTATACAGCTGAAATTGACCTATACCTAAATAGGCAGGAATTGCGTATAGCTATATACCTATAATAATACAACACATCATCATCGCCGCCTCCCACTGATAAATCGATGGTAAAAACGGCTAGGGCCGCCTACGGGATTACGTGTGGCAAAGTCCAGATGAAAAGTCGTACACATCATAATATCATGACATTTAAAACGTATAATTTACATAGACCTCAAAACGTGATATATATTATAACACGCCTATCCAAAAAAAAAAATGGTATTTGTCGAAAGTATCTTACCACGCGTAAGTTTCATTCAGCGCGGGTTGTTACGAGTGTTACGACTTTACGAGTGTAACATATATCTTGTGCGCACGGGCGTGGTGGTGGCAGCGGCGGTCGTTGTGTTAGAGCGGACTTCCCCGAAAGCGGATTCCTGTCGGATACGGTCTGGAAGGGTTAGTTGGGGTGGAGGGTGGTGGCGGGTGTCGTGCGGAGAGCACTATATAGCTATATTGTATATACACTCGACCGCGTTTGGGCGTTGAACGAAAACGGCCTATCCCATTTCCCACTGCCACCGCCGAGGAAAGTTTGCAGTAATTCGAAAACGACCTGACCCTCAAGCTCACGCGGAGACGGTTCGATGCGCGTATATACGAAACCAATGTGATGAAATACAATCGATAATCCATAGTGTATATTAAACACATTTTACGCATTAAATTATAATGTTCTTAAACGAACGCAATAATAAAATAAAATGTATGCCAATGCTTATGGGCATAATAACGTTATACTTACATTTTGTCCGTAAAGCGATCGGAATGACAACGACTCGACTACGGTCGCTGCTGTACGTGAATGTGCTAGTCGTACGACGACGACTGCCTATATAATATGTAATATATATTATATTATATAGTTTATGCGCGCCGCAAGTGCAGCAGTGATGGTAACTCGACTGTTGTGTCTTAGGACTCGCGCTGCGTGGCGAATAAATATAATATATTTAAAGTTCCTCTTCGGTCGCAGGTATAGAATCTCGGTGACGCCAATGCGTGGTTATGTGKTATTCTGGTGGCGTATATAGGGCCGGCGTGATATGTGCGGTATAATATGTTAAATGCTATAACGACGACGACGGCGACGACGACAATGTGAGATGGTACAGCACGGATTTTTTTGTTCGAAATTTAAGTTTGTTTTTGCCAGCGGCGGCGGCGGCGTCGACGACGACTGTGAAATGCACTGGCTGCCGTGAGCTTTCGCGCGCGCGTGTGAGTGCCCACCAGTACCGTCCGTCTGCGTATGCGCGCGCGCGTCGTCCCACCGTACGTTATATAGTGTCATACATAGTGTCAGTGTGTATGTTTTCGCGTCGGGGTGTGCGTAAGTTTTCGCGTGTGTGTACGTGTGTGTGTGTGGGTGTGTGGGTGAGCGGCGTCCGCTTGACGATCGATCGGGTCCCTCGGAACGGGCTACTCTATATACACGGCAGTGCCGCGTCGTAAGGGAATGGAACACCGCGTGCAACCCCCGTCGAGGGCGCTACAACGCCACCACCGCCTCCACATCCACCATCGACTCCACCACTGCCGTCCGACTGCACGGTCGTATTAACCCATACAGTTGTACGTGGCAAAGTCGCCCACGTCGGAACCGCTCGTCGCCGCCGTTACCGACCCGCACCGACACCCCAAACCTACACCCCCGCAGACGCCTTGCGACCGCCGCCCACGCACCGTGGAAAACAAGGAAAACCTTTAGCGCCCGTATACGCGGATACGTATCATTATATATATATATATATAGTATATACGGGATGTTACATTTTTATACGATACTCCGCTATAGTTTAAATCTTGAAAATGAAGTCCATTTTTCATGCGAGTAAATTTTGTATTATTTATGCTGTATTATCTTAGAACACATTTTCTTCATCATTCAAAATAGATAATCGATACACGTCAACATTTTCAAAAAATCTTTCTGCTCCTGCAAGTTGTGTAGGTAGTTAAATTATTAGTATATATATATATATATATAGGCGATAATTGAAAACAATATGGAAATATCCTAAGACATCGCAAGCAGATATAATCATAATATTATAATATATAGATTATAATTATTTATGGTATAAAAAAAAATAATATGTCATAAATATTTTATACACTTAAAAAAGTAATATTATCGCGTGTATTGAACATAAGATTTAAAATTACTGTGACCTGCACTTAAATACGGATCACCCCATATAAGGTATATAATATGGTGCATGCGATTTCGTCGCGCGCAACGCTGATCCTCGACCGTGGGCGTCCTCCACCAACGATTATATATATTATTATTATTCTATATTGCTCTTAGGCGACAGCGACCGAATTCTGGTGTAATATATGCACATGGCGCGTATATTATATTACATGCACACGCACATGCTATATTGAAGTACGCATACGGATGTGCGTGTATATTATATAGGTATCAGGTATATCATGTGATATAGGTACCTAATGTTTATGTTAACATTGTTAACACGCTATATAACTTCAAAACAACACGATGACTGTCCTCCTTAGCAAGCATTTGATGTTTTATATAATTATTGTATTGGGTTTATGTATATATAGGTAATAGGTATATATGTTACGCGAATTTGTACATATAGCCATTTGGCATTTAGGTAGGTATACGTTTATAAGATTACAGCATACGATTTTCGGCATTTTTCCTCGTTATTTTTATATGCTAACATTTTTATGATATCGTTTTTACTGTAGATAATTACCTATACAGCGTGTTGTAGTGTAAATGATAGGTATACGGTATACCAATAACTTGTGCTGAATATTATGCAGTTCTACATAATAGTTCGTGGTTTCCATGACCTGATTGTACAGAATAAACAGTGGTTTTCGGTTGGTTCGTGTTTGGTTTTTCTCATCGTACCTATACCTACATGTATATTATATAAATCTATATTATATTATGTAGACATTAAATATTGATAAAACGTTGATGAAACCTGAAAGCATCTTTTAGATTCTGAGCGGAGCGAGGAATGTATTGATTTTACCATGATGTGTATTTTTTTTTGTCATCACGTTTTGGGGCAATAAAAGTGCATCGATTTTCGACTTCAGTACTTCGTTCGATCAGAAAGTGAATCTAGTTAGTACTTTGGTGAGTCAAAATTCTCAATATTTTTCTAAATAATCGGGATAAACAAATTAAAAATTAAGGGGAAAACGGGAAAGAAAACACGTCCAACGACGTGGCTGGGTAATAAAATATAAATTAATCTAAATCTGAAGCCCTAAATATTCATTTATGGTATATATTATAATATAATGTAATATAGGTACCAACAAATGCATCGTATTATGCCCATCACGCTATATACGCATACATATATTATATGTATTATATATAGGTACAACAATTAATAATACAATAATTATTACAATATAATTTAAAAGCTTTAATCAAAATACATAATTTATTTTTTAATTTTAATTTTTACAAGATATATATAATCTATACAATTAAGCACAATATAAGTATATGTAAGATTAGGGTAACAAAACATTATGGGGTTACGTGAATAAGAAGCCACCAATCAGTAGTACTTAGCTTGTTTATTATGTGATTACTTACAACTTTGAACCTATTAGGATTAAGTAAGATGATCCCTACACCATTTTCTTTTCAGCCTGCGACGGAGATTTCCAGGAAGTGACGGGATATGTCAGCCTTTTATTAGAGTGATTTTCTAATTTAAAATACATAATTTAAAAATAGTATCTATTAAATACTGCAGATATACTGGAATRTGGAATTCAATAAACAAACTAATGAATGTAATATAAATTATCAGAGTTATATAGTTATAATATATTTTTTATATTTGATAACATAATATACATAACATGCGCATATCTAAGTAATAAGTAACCTACCTATGTTTAATCGTATTATTATCTATAAAAAAGTTGAACGTTGATATTTAAATAGTAAAATGTACATAAATCAAATAATTTAATGAATATATTGTATTACATTTTATTCAGTATTTATTGGATAATATTAAATACCGTGTGTTCACCAATTATTTAAGGAACACTGAATTTCTCGGACTCGAATTTTTTTTAAAAGCTAGTGGTATATGAATACACATTTTCAGATATATTTCAAATTTTTAACCCTCTCGTTACGCGCATGCGCCATGCACAACGCAACTTGTTTTTTTTGATACCAAATTCGGATAGCCTGAAATTTTTAAGTCACTTTGACCTGGTACTAGTACTAGTATACTACTTGTATATGATCAAAGTTTACAACCCTGGCCTGGTGGTCTAGTCTATGGTATGTTGTGTGCTATCAGGGTGAGTATTTAACAGATAAGGAACTTCGTTTAATGTTGTTTRGATAAGCCATACAAACGACGTATACTTTTCATAATATATGAATCCAAAAAACATTACTATTCGGTAAAAAATTCTATGATTGTATCACAAAGAGAAAAATTGATTTTCCAAAGCATTGCCGGTGTATTTATACGTAGAAACATGGTATATTATTTTTATTATCAGTGAATYGACCTATTATTTCATTTAATGGTAATTGGTAAGAATATCTACTATCTAGGGCACATTAGATTTTGTTTGACATTTTAATGTTAAAGCAAGTTGTGGAGGTTTAACTTTAAATTTTTTAAATATTGATATATTGCTTTAAAATTATGACATCCTTCATTAAGTCAACAGCAAGTAGATGTACTTATATTGGTTATATTGTATATTACACTTATTTTAAACGTTGATTATACCTACCTACTACGCGTATTATACTATTATGTTTACTGGGATAGGTACACTGTACCTATATATAATATACAGGCATACAGGTATACGTTTAGATATAATTAATTGTATTTTTTAAAAGGTCTTAGAAGTTAAGACTTACATGGTTACATACTGTTTACAATTATACACTTTTTTATAGTAGTTACTAGTTGTCAGGATAAGAATTAAAAAAATAAAGCATTTTAGTTATGTCTAATATTTTTCACTTAATCTCAAAAAATGTTCAACTGTATCATAACTAGATAATTGTTGACTTACGATATTCTTCTTTAAATTTTTTATTTCTTGTTTTCAAGATTTAATCTCCATAGCCAGTTTTTGTTTCTTTGGTGTATTTGTCGATAAATATCCWGGAGTTTGATTTGAAGAATCAGAAGTTGTTACTGAACTACAAGATTCATTTGAAGCACCAGAAGTATTCATAAATCCACTTACATGACTTTTTAATTCTTGAGTGTCTGGAATTGAAGTACAACAGCTACTCTGACGTTCATCAAAATCCTAATGATCTTCATGGGTTTTCAACTGTAGTTTAGCCAATTTTGATCTTTCAAAAATTATTTCATCTAAAAAAATAATTAATATGTATTTATCTAACAAAGTATTAGTTTATTAATATAAAAATTAGTTTTTGAAATAATTTAAATAATTTTTAAACATGTTTTAATAATTTTATTATTTACTTACCATTAAATACAGATGGGATAGCATTAAAAACTAGTCTGTTTTTTGTTGTGGAGTTTAAAAACATTGAGTCTACAAAGTGATCACCACATACTTTGTAACTATTTTTTTTTTTTAGTTCTTCAGCCAGATTTTCTGTACAACAATTTTTCATCCATGTTGCTAGACGATCGTCTTTTGGATATTGGAAAAAACTTATATTCCTAGTACTTGCTTTATTTTTGCAAAATTGTACAGAGCAACGCATTCCTGTTTTTTTACTCTTCATTTTTAAATTTTGTAACACAAGAGCACAACACCTAATTTTATATWAAAAAAAAAATATTTTGAAACACACTGGTCAACTAACAAGTCACATGGAAATCACAAAAACAGCAATTAAAGGGCAAGATAACCTAATTCTTAAGGGATGTGAAAGGTCAGAATCTAAGCAATGCAACCCCCACGTCGCAAGGCGAAACCGGGTAGTTAGTATGAATTTCAATATTGGTGCCAGGTAGAAATCAGAACAATTTTTTTGTCATTTTCCAAACGAAATTTCATACCTGCACTGTGGTCACACTGATTTCGTCGCGGAACATAGAGTAATATTACTCTATGTCGCGGAAATAATATTCATAGTTTTTGCACAGATTATATGAAAACCATAGATAATATATATATATTATATATTATCTATGATGAAAACAGATTGTGCAATTCCTATGCTGCAATTTAAAATATGAATACGGTACTGTCACAATTCCAGTCAATACATTARCAATTAAAAGTAAATACATATTATACATTTATTATAAACATAATATCGATGAAGTACAAAATTTTAATACAATTGGCTTACTTTCTAATTTATTCATWAATGGTTTAATATACTTAATTTTCTATTTTTTTTTCTGATATTAAATTCCTACTTAAAAATTTAATAGCAGCATGAATTCTAAATCTAATAAAATTATTAATTAAATACTCTTTATTAAATAGAGGACATGGATGACTAAATACAACATTTGTCATGCTTAATTTTACCTTAACACCTACTTCTTTTTCAATAGCTACATGTGGAAATCTATTTATAAATATGTTTTCCAAATCATCAATATAATCATAAAATGCATGWTGTGGCATCATTAAATTGCCAAACATTGTTTTTTCTGCATTTCCATATGCTTTGAAATAGCAAAGTAAAAAAGATTCATCCAAATTTTTTTGTGATTTCGCATATTGAATACAAACATCACAAGTGTGTTTTTCAATATATTTTTTCATTAGAAATCCACAAACATAAACAAAAGCAATTTTTTTCTGGCATTGATAAATTCCTATAATCTGGGGTGTCTATTGCAAGTAATTTTTTTTTTAAATTGAAATGGGTTTTTGTTATCAAATATTATTTTTATGTTTTTCGTCATTTAATGAATCTGTATTAATTTTAGATAAAATTTCATCCAAGTCTGCGATGCTATTCGCATTGTCAGAATGAGTAAAATAATTAAGACAAAAWTTTTGTTTATATGACCAGATAAATTGTATTGKGGTTAGATTAATATTATTTCCATTATGTTGGGTGCGAAATGTGCCAAATAAATTTAGCTAATGTTTTTCGTTAGTGACATTTTATCGTTGCAAAATTTCACTGCACAAGATTTTTTTTTTAATTGTATTTAAAAAAGCAGGTAAGTGGATGTCGCTCTGCTGTACCTCTGACTAGGGTAAGT